AGAATTTGGGTTTCTGGTGACCTCCTCCCGACCCGGTGATGATCTGTCATAAAATGAGCCTGCCCCAAATTTTAAGAACTGTTTAGCTTCAAAGAAATTACCGGGAAATACTATGGCCCAAACCCCAATCAGTGCTTTCCTTTTGTTCTGTATGCATCAAATGAGTTAGATATCAGATCTTTGTAAAACTTAAGTTTCAGCTTCTTGTAACTCTTGACCCCTTTGCACCCACTAGCGAAAACGAGCTGTCCTGGGATAATTAACTGTCCACTTTCTTCCCCAAATATTGCTGCAGATGTGCCACTCCGAGATAATGTCAGTCTGTAGGATGGGAGTAATTTGAGAAACACCAGGAACTCCTGAGATTGTCAGAGCTAAGTGGACAGCAATACAGTTTCCAGACTCGGGTCAACAAGTTTGATGGCTCTGCAGGTTTCTTTGTCGTCCCCCCCCCCCCCCGCCACTTTTCCTCCAGCCCCTTTTTAAAGTCCTCCCTTCAGTCTCTGGGACACAGTCTCCAAATTGGCTCCTGGAGACTGGTCACCAGGCCTGGAAATAAAGCCTTTGCCACCTAAATTTTCGGTCTCTTGCCTCCTTGGATTTTATACCGGGGCCCAAGTTATAACAATCTGACCAGTGTTTTGTTTCACCAGTCACTGCTGAAACCCAGAGGATTATTAGTTACTACTTCAAAAACCTATACTTCAATAAACTAGAGAATCGAGAACTGGATGGATTCCTAGATACACATGAATTACCAAAACTGATGAACAAAGCAGGCATTAAAGTCCTGAAAAATCAATAAAAGGCAATAAAATGGAGGTAGTAATTAAAAAAAAAACTTACTAAGGAAAGCACAGAACATGATGGATTCACCATTGAATTCCATAAGAACTTCAAAGATCTAATGCCAATATGCTTCAAACTCTATAATGAAACTGAAAAGGGAAATTTAGTCAGGAGTTGTGCAGAGAACAGTTAGAATCAGGATACAGAATTTATAATATAATTTTATGATGGTCACCTAGAGTTTAACATAAAGTGCAGGAAATCTGTCCACAACACTAAAGACTCAAGAATATTCAGCCACAGGCCTAGATCCCACAGCAGTGTCCTGCATGAGTTCAGATGAAAACCTAGAGCCCATAAGAATGCCTCCCAAGAGCCCAACTGGAGGTCTAGAGCCTACAAGGACTCATGCCAGTCTGTTTTACAGATCTGCACTGGGAAGGCCCAAAGGTCAGTGGTGGAAGCTAGAATCTTTATGCCAGCAGGGTGAAGGAGCTCTGCTGGAAGGTTGAGGGTTCTACACTGGAGCTGAGAAGTCATGCTCAACACAAAGGCCAGCGCTGCCCTGAAAATTGCCATAGCCATCCTCAGCAACCCGGAGGTCCCGAGCTCCTCAGATGATAAGCATAATTGAGTACATGGCAAAAAGCCAACATGACGAGTTTCTCCTGGAGATTAAATGGCATATGTCTTCCCCTCCAGACCCAGGAAGTGTTGCTTGATGTCAGGACCAGGGCTGTGGGATTGTGGCCAGCTCTAGGTAAAATATCCCCAAAGTGAACCACAGTCTCTCTCATCAACCATATCTAAAACTCCTCCGATGACAATGGTCAAACTCACACTGGGGAAGCTAGTCATGTTGAGCTCCTGCAGGAGAACCAACAGCTCAAATAGCAACATGTAGGAGACCCCACAAAGCCTCACTCATCTTTTCCGTGTCTCTATTTATGCTGGCAACTTTCCTCAGGCCATCTATGCTCAGCACCATGCTGCTTTAATTTAGCTAGTTTTAAAAGTTGACCCATCATTTTTTAATCCATAACAGGAAGGAATACTCCCAAAGTCATCCTCATGGCTAGCATACCCAGATTCTAAAACTAGACAAAGATCCAATTAAAAAAGAATACTACAGGTGTTATGGTTGAAATGCTGTGTCAACTTGAGTAGTCTAAAAGTTTAACTAAGTGACTCAGCAGCTCCACATCCTGGGGAGTAGGGGACAAGCCATTATCTCTCTAGGATGCTGTTCATTGTTTCAATTTGAGAAGGTCAGAAATTTAACTAACTGATTCACAGGGGAACAGGGTCCTTTGTAACAACCTCAGGCTGTGCAAGAGGAAGGAACACAGATGGTGTGAGCGCTACACCCACCCAAGGGATGTAGCCAGCATACAAGTAAGCCAGGAAAAGAGGCTCACTCTTCCCTGCTTTTGCTCTTGTTGCTTTGCTGTTTTCTGCCATCTTGAAGTACTGCCCTGGTGCCTGCCACCCTGCCTTGGAGACAGCTGATTATGGACTGAAACCTCCATAATCTGTAAGCTAAATAAACCTTTCCTTCTCTAATTTTGGGTGTTGCGTATTTTGTCTCAGTAATGAGAGAAAAGTAACCAAGACAACAGGCACATGTTGTTCATGAATACAGACACAAAAATTCTGAACAATACCCTGGCAAACAGAATAATCACTGGCAACAAGTAATAAAAAATGATCAATCACGACCAAGTAGGCTTCACTGCAGAGATGCAAGGATAGTTCAACAAACACAAATCAATAAAAAGAATCAAGGACAAAAGTCCTATGATTATCTAAATAGAGGCAGAAAAAGCCTTTGACAAAATCCAACATCTATTCATGATTTTTTTAAAAACCCTAAAAAATAGGTATAGAAATAACTTATCACAATCTGATAATAGATATTAACAAACCTAATGCCAACATCATATTAAGTGGCAAAACATGGAACTATTTCCCTCTAAAATCAAGAACAAAACTAGGATGCCCACTCCCACCACTCATGTTCAATACAGTACTTGAAACAATAGCCAGAGCAATCAGGAAAGAGAAAGAAATAAAAGAATACATATAGGAGGCAAAGAAGTCAAATTATCATTATCTACAGATGACATGATCTTCTGTGTAGAAAAAACCTCAATCCACCAAACCCACCAAAAAACTCCTAGAATAACTGAACTCAGTAGTGTAGCAGGATAGAAAAATCAACACAGAAAAATCTAATAGCATTCCTGTACATCAACAATGAACTCACTGAGAAAGAAATTAGGAAAATAATACCTCTCAGAACATCAAGAAAAATTAAACTCTTAGGGATTTACCTAACCAAGGAAGGGAAAGGCCCCTACAACGGAAATGTTAAAAAGGTGACTGAAGAGGATATCAGAAAGTGGAAAGACAACCCCTGTTTCCGGATAGGTAGAACCAATATTGCTGAAATGTCCCTACTTTCAAAACTGATATACAGATTTAATGCAACTCCAATCAAAATATGACCAAATACTCATCAGACAACCAGAGAAAATCCTAAAAGTCATAGGGAACCAGAAGAGACTCAGAATAGCACAAGGAAATCTGGGCAACAAGAGAAAAATAGGAAACATCATAGTTCCAGACTTTAAGTTATATTACAAAGTTACAGTGATAAAAGCAGCATGGTACTGACACAAAGACATGTGGGTCAATTGGACAGAATAGAGAAGGCAGAAACAACCCCATGCACATTTAATATGCTTATGTGATATTAGACAAAGGGGTCAAAAGCACCAGTGGAGGAAAGATAGCCTCATTCATAAATGGTGCTGGGGAAACTGGCATTTCACATGTAAAGATTGAATCTAGATCCACAGCGCTCACCATATAGTAAACTAAAATCAAAATGGATCCAAGACATAAATAGTAAAACAGAAACATTTTATCTGCTGGAAGATAAAATAGGCAAAACTCTTGAAAACATAGGTGTAGGCAAGGATGTTCTGTATAGAACTGCAATTGTACATGAAATAACATCAAGAATCAACAGTAAGTTTTTGCATAGCAGAAGAAACAACCAGCAGAATAAAGAGACAACATACACAGTGGAAAAAATTTTTGTTTGCTTCTCTTCATATAGAAGACTAACATCTATAATATTTAAAGAACTCAAAATAAGTTAGTCCTCTCAAATAAAAGACCCAGTACAAAAATCAGAAACTGGGGACTGGAGATTTAGCTCAGTGGCATAAGCGCCTGCCTTGCAAGCAGGCAGTCGTGAGTTCGATCCCTGGTACCGATAAAAAGGAAAAAGACAAAAAAAAAAAAAAAAAAAAATCAGAAACTGAAATAAACAAACATTTTTTAGAACTAGAAATGAACCATAAAAAATTTTTTTTTTTGTCTTTTTCCTTTTTATTGGTACCGGGGATCGAATTCACAACTGCCTGCTTTACAAGGCAGGCGCTTACGCCACTGAGCTAAATCCCCAGTCCCCATAAATATTTTTTTAAAAAGTTCAAAATTTCTGGGCATTAGAGCAATACAAATTAAAATAACACCGAGATTCCATCTTATTCCAGAAAGAAAGGCCATCATCAAGAAATCAGATAATAACAACACTAGATGGGCTATGGGTTAAAAGGAACCTTCCTACATAAGTGGAAGTGTAAACTAGTACAAGCATTATGGAAATCAGAATGGAGATTCCTTAAAAAACTAAAACAGAAATTCCATTCATCTCACCTATTTCCCTTCTATGTTATTTGCCAAAAGATTTAAAGATATCGCATTATAGTGACACATGCATATCTACCTTTATAGCAGCAAAATAGCTAAATCTTAGAAGTGACCCCACATGAGCATCAGCCGGCGCATAGATAAAGAAAATGTGGTGTTTTCACACATGGGGGTACTACTCTGCTATAAAAAGGATAATTTGAGTCATTTGTAGGATGTAACTGAGACTCTCATGTTAAGTGAAATAAATTGGACACAGAAAGTTAAACATCACTTGGTTTCTCTCCTATGAGAAAGTATAAATACAAGAGCAAAATATAAAAGATCATAGGAAACAGAGACAGATCTTTTGCAAATGGGAAGAGGACCAAGAGACTGAGGAAAGAGGGGGAAAGAAGTGAATTTTAAAAAAAAGAAGGTGTGTTATGTACATGTACCAAGTCCCCACGGTAAATGTAATCATTATGTAACAGTAAAAATTAAAAATATAACATAATATAAAACTTATTTTATTGTTTTGATATTGGGAATTGAACTCTGGACCTTGTATTTGCCAGGCAGGCACTTATACCACTGAGCTATATCCCTAGCAATAGTATAAAATTTAACAAATGCCTATCAATAAGCAATTAATTAAATTATGGGATATATAACCTCTGATTCTCCCAGCATCAGCAACCTCTATTAGATAGCTCATGACACTGGTTTTTTTCTATACAGAAGTATAATTATATTTTTATTTTTATGATTATTTAAAATATGCCTCTTCCATGAGATTCTAAGCCCAAGAGGTAGGGACTATGAGGTCAGGCACACGTGTACCCATGCTTAGGACCATGCTTAGTAACCTGTAGATATTTAATATTAGAATATATAATAAATACATACTATGGAATATTACCAAGTCATTAAAAGTATGATATGTGGAATCATTTATTGATATTAAGTTACCCATAATATGACACATTTTTAAAAATCAAATTATAAAATAATAGTTATACTATGATTTCATTTTTATAAAAAGAATATGTTTATAGCTACATACATCAAAATAATAGTGGTAGGATCATGGAGTATACCTTGTAACTCTCCATGTAATCTGAATCTTTAAAATAACATTTATTTGATTTATTACTTTGATTTAAAAATTATTTCAGCAAACAAGCAAGTAGATAGCAAAATGACCTTTTTTTAAAACTCACAAACCATCCCTTGAAAAATTAACTTTGGCATAAATAGGACAATATTAGAAACAATAGAGATTTCTAAATTCAAATTTAAATGCTGGATTAAATTCATTGTGATACTGTTGCTGATTAAAGTGGCCTTTTTAAAAAATGACCATCATAAAGCCCTCATTTCCGTATAAAATTTATTATTTAATTTTATGTCTATAATTAACCATTATTCTTCTCTTTTTATGCTCCTATTCAGGATATGGAGAATGGAATTGACTCGTATCTTTTCTTATCCTATTCTGAGCAAAAGATCAAGAAAATTAAAGGACAGTTGACTTCTAAATAGTCAGTGGCTGATGCATTTAAAATATTTCCCTCACATGAAGTAAGTTTGCAAAAGTGAAGCTGTTCCCAAGAAAATGCCAAAGCATTACCAAAATTCTAAATGTATATCCACCTCAAACATACACATTTAGTATCCTTACTGGTTATAAAACTATAATTAAGAACCATTTTCCCTTTTAAAACACATGAGTAAGACATTTATAGAGCATAGACTCTAAATGGAGCACGAGCATACTCCTTGGGCATCTTACCAGGTAAGCATAATTGCACTTATTTTATGTAACAATTAGCATGATTGTAGAGAAAAGGAAAATATGTTTGTATACAAATTCCTCTTCTCAGCTGGGTGTGGTTTCATGTCTGTAACCCCAGCACTCAGGAGGCTGAGGCACAAGGATTGTTGTGCGTTTGAGGATGATTTGGGCTACGTAATGAGTCCAAGGCCAGCCTGGACCACACAGGGAGACCCTGTCTCAAAAACAAATCTCTTTTTCTCATTAAATTATAAAAGTTTCACTAAAGATTAGTTAGAAAGAAAGGAAGGAAGGAAGACAGACAGACAGACAGACAGAGACAGTATATATGGCTATCTATCTTTTAGCAATTAGTTAACTTTGCTTTCTTGCCAGTTTCAGCCCATTACCACAAAGACCAAAGCACCATGTAAAGAAGCCACACTCTGAGTCACAACATGTGACAGCCCCAGGAGAACCACTCCACCATCATTTTCACTAAAAAATCTAACAGAATAGTGGTGACTACTGTGCCTTAGGACCTTAATCATATAATACACACCATTTACAATGCAAGTTGTCAGAATATGTGCGCTACAGCCAGGTTTCACATACTCCTTGGAAATTCCAAAGTTCAAGAATATCTTATTTCTCTTCATTTCAGATCTAGTAGCATAAAAGCTGGGTTTTCTAAGTAGGATTTCCACAAATTAGAGAAGCGTGACATCGTAGCTCCATCAATGATCCTATGATCGGCTGACCAGCTCACATTCATTATCTGTGCTTTATAAACTTCTCCGTTCAGGTTAAATCGAGGAAGGGCCTAGAAACAAGGAAGACAAACACAGAGTAACTTTTCAGTTGCTCGAAGCTCGGACTCTGGTGACTGTGGTGTAAGAGCAAGCCGACCCTCCTCCTGATGGTAGACTGCAAGTGGGCATCCCAAATGACTTTGGAAAATGCTAGCTCCTCCTTCCCCTGCCTTTGAGAGGACATGCTTCAAGCTTTCAGTTTTCCTTAAGGAATTTCCTGGCCCCAATACAGGTTCTATACCTTCATTAAATTTCAACTCTGATGTCAAATATTAAACAATTATTCAGTTAGCTGCACTATTTCCACGGTACTCATACGGGGCTTAACAAGTAATACCACTAAGAAATGAAGGCTCCTTAGGAGACAATGAGGAAACACACCACGTGGATTTGGAGAAGGAGATGGAAGGCAGACATGACTGGATGTTGGGGAACAGCAAAGCAAGCGGGGTGGCTGCCCTGGCGGGCAGGAGGTGAGGTCATGGCCAGAGCAGAACAATGTGGCTGGGGCAAGGCAGGTCTTGGAGCACAGTGCTTCTCAATCTATCTCTGGTAAGGGACCTTTTTAAAAAAACAATTTGAATGTATGTTGGGTTATTTTAAAAAAATATATTAAAAGTGAACTATTACAAAATAGGAAACTAGAAGCCCAACTTCTTAGTAGACTTGATGACAAAATCACTCTGTCAAGCTAAGAAGTTTCTAAGTCTTACTCTCTGTATCTGTCCTTATCGCCTCATGGGGTACAGTAATTATAGCTGGACGCGGGTCCCTGATCGCACAGAGCAGCATCTGGGTGAGTCTGTGTTGCTCACTGCAGCGGCCTCGCCTTTGGTGCTGAGTGAGAGGAGAAGCCACGCAAGGTGTCTAAGCCGAACGGGCTTTCTCTGCAGAGGGAAGGCTTCAGATGAGCAGGCTGGGAGGTAGGGGTTGGTGGGGAAAAGACTTTTTAAAACCTGAGAGGCCTGTTACTCACACAAGCAGGTTACGTGTTTGGAGTTGAAAAGTGAAGTTCTGTCCACAGACGTGAACGTGCGAGTCATCAGGGTAGAAGAAAATTGAAGTATCAGATTGGCCCAGATAATGGAAAGAGTCACACTGTGCCCTGGGGTGCTCTAGTGTCTAGAGACTGGGGAGACAGAGGGCATGGTGAAGGGGACTTGGGAGGAAAACCAGTCTAGCAAGACTTTTGCAAGTTATAGTGAAGAAAGTTCTAGGAGGTAAACTGTGTCAAGTGCAGCTGGCAGGTGAAGAAAGACAGGGTTGGGAGTGAGCACAAAGAAAGTTCAGATGAATCAGACAATTTAGCAGAGACTTTAAAATTTATGGTGAAAACAAAATAGCAAAGGAGAGATCAAATAGAGGCAGAAATGGATTAAATACTACTTGTTCTTATCAAAAAAAGATCACATTAAGTCACAGCTAGGATTTATAGTCTAAATTGGGTATGGTGGTACATGCCTATATTTCTAGCTACACAGGAGGCTGAAGCAGGAAGACTGCTTGAGACTAGGAGGAGTTCAAGACCAGCCAGAGCAGCACAGTGAGAACTCGTCTCAAAATATGAAGAAGACTGGTATTCTAACAATTATGTTTCATATCTTGGGCAAAAGAATTCTTTAAAATATACTTGCTGAACATATATATATATATGTTTATTTATATATATGCACATATAATATATTAATGTTCATACAGCATTATTCACAATAGCTAAAAATGGAAAAAAACCCAAAACATTCATCAACACGTAAATGGATAATAAACAAAACATTATATATAATTTGTTTTTATTCAGCCCTAAAAACATGAAATTTGGCTATAAAATGGATGAATTCTCAAAATATTATGCTAAATGAAATAAGATAGATATAAAAAGACAAATGCTTCCACTTATATGAAGTATCAGAATGCTCGAAATTCAGACACAAAGTAGGATGACAGCTGCCAGGGGATGGGAAAATACGGGAATTGGGAATATTGATCAAAGTGTTCAGAGTTTCAGCTTTGTAGATGAAAAAATTTCTAGAGATGGTCAGTGGTAACGGTCACACAATATTGTACTCACTGCTGCACAACTATATATATGAGAGGTTAAGATGGCAATTTTAATGTTATGTATCTTTTAGCATAATTATACACATATATTTTATATATACACATATATATATTTTAGAAGAAAATAAATCTCTTTAATGAAAAGGAAAAACAAAACTTTGTCAAACAGGTATGATGATCTGGGAACTGTAGAAAGTCAAACTTTTGGAAGAATAAAAGTTATTGGGCAGAGAGTGATAATAAAGAAGTTATTATTATACAAACAAACTCCTCTTTGGAAAGAAAAGTATCATGGTGCGTGTGCATGCATGTGCATGTGCGTGTGTGTGTGTGTGTGTGTGTGTGTGTGTGTGTGTGTGTTTTCCTCTTCCTTGTTTGCCTGAGGGTAAAATGGACATTGTAATAAAGTGGAAGTAATTTAGCAGCTAACAAACTACCTACTAGGTTTGGATGCCATAATAAAGTAATAAAGTCATGAAAGACAAGTCCCAGAGATATTCAATGTGGAAGCATTATAAATACTGTAGAGAAAAAATTTTCTTAAAACATGAAGAGTAAACAGCGAACGAAGTTAACAGAACAACAATGACATTCATCAATGATCATTCTGAAGTAGTACCTATGAAGTTTTCAACCATGAGTTACCAAGTTTATCCAAGCCCCATCCCCTTAAATTCTGATCAGTTTGTATTGAGTCTGCATGGGCATAGTTTTTTTTAAAATTTCAGATGGTTTTAATATTCAATTATGGTTAAAAATCACTGCAACCTTATTCTCAGTCAGCATCTCCTGAACCATGACCACAGATCACTTGTGTTGGAACCACCTGGGATCTTGTTTAAAATACAAGCTTGGGGATTCTGTATCTAAGGCAAGAAATCTGTATTTTAACTAGCTCTCCCAGTGAATCTTTGAGCATAAATTTTAGAGAAATGCTCTAAAAGAGGTACCTCACATTGTTATGAATAAGACTGGTTTATTATTTCTTTGGTATTTTGCAATAAAGATATTTTGATAGAAATTGACTGAATGTATTTGTGACTATCCATAAAGACTCACAACTGTCCACACAGAAACAAATTCAGATCACCACCTTTATGAAGAAATCACTAACTTACTAGCCGAATTTCACAAACTCAGACCTACAAGGTGAGGGGTAAACATTAGGAATGAGTACTCTTTTATGTGTCCCTTCTCCCATTTATTTGTTTTTCAATTATTTAATACACATACCCTGATTGATCCAAGGGCCCCAATTGCTACTTCAGGTGGCAATATCACTGCTTTGGCATAAGTGCCACCAATCTAAAAAAAAAAAACAAAAAACAAAACAGAGTAGACAAATTAAGCTTTCAGAGGTAATAAGTGACATTTTACATTTTCAATTGAGCATATGATCTGAAATTTATGATATCACTTATGAATTTGAGCATCCATACTCACCGATCCAATGTTGGAAAGAGTAAATGTGCCCCCAGCAAGGTCAGTGGTGCTGAGCTGACCCACAGCACCAAGATTTTGGAGGCGGTTCAATTCAGCAGCAATCTCAAATATGGAGCAGATCTGAACATTCTTCACATTAGGGACAACCAAACCCTGCTTAGTATCCATTGCTATTCCAATGTTATGAGAAGCCTAAGGAAAAAAACAACTATGAAAAACTTTTCATCAGATTGGCAATGATTCAAACGATATACTTTAAAAAATATTTTTAGGATTCTTTTTGACAAAAATAACTTTTTGTTGATAGGAATACAGATTAGTTGTGTATTGTCAGCAGGAGTGTTGAATGTTACAGACTTTCTGCAAGATGTTTGACGATATGTACCAACACTTACAAGAGTTTATGCTAAGGAGATAACTGTAGAACTTTATAGGGACACACAGGCAGTCAGACACAGATTGTTTATGAATTTGAGAAAATATAAACAAAAGTTTTATTGGTAGGTCATCAAGTTATACTTATAGACATAATGATGTTCGCAGTGTAGCAAATGAAAAAGAACAAAAGCAAGTTAAGGAAAAATATGTAAAATTTCATATACTTTAAAAAAGTATATAAAATGAAATTCTGCAGGACCTGCAATGTTAGTATTTTTAACTCAGCAAAGGGGGAGAGAAAGAAAGAGAGACTGAGAGATCTTATTTATCCAGAGAAAATTTCAAGTCTATAGGCACGATATACATCTCAGAATAGTGAATTATATTAGGGCCATGGATTGAAGGTAAATATTACTATTTTCTTTTTTAATATAGAAAATTTTCTTTATTTAAAAAATATATAATACATCCTATGGCATAAAATTCTAGGCATAGCATATTTTAAAATAGCATAGTGGAAAATATAAATAGCCATTTTTTCCTATCTGTATCTTTTGTGCACTTACTGTCTTTTAAGCATCATTATTTTCCTGTCTGAATTTTTGCAGTTAGTACTTAATCAGAAAGTAGTAAAATGAAGCCACAGACAGCTGGCTGTAGTAATCACATGGGAACATTTTGGACTTGACTTCCCCGGAGTATCTAAGCTCACTCTAATTGCAGATTTCTAGTGAGAAATGGATGTAAGGATCCACATCCCAGACGGTTCTCAGTCTTAAGAAATTTTCACTACAAACAGAAGAGTTCACTCAAACTGAATTCAATTTTTACTGCTTTCCTTGTTCAAATTATTCTCATTCTCTTTTTGTTTTTGTACTGGGGATCCACTCAAGACCTCACACTTGTCAGGCAGGTGCTTGTGCCACTGAGCTAAATCCCCAGCCCTCTCATTTTAAAAATTCCAGGAATTGAGTTTTGAGAAAGCTGCTCTCTCTCAAAGGAGACGGTAATTAGAGTGGGTTACATAATTCACAATCCTATTTCTGTTTATTCCATTTTTTTAATCGGAAAAACAAAAGGGTTTAAAAATGGCAATTGAACATTTTTTTGTATTAGTACTTGTTTGCAATATATAATGATTACATTTATCATGGGGAGCTGGTACTTGACAATAATACATCTTAATATTTTTCACCCCCTGCCCTTCCCATCCTTCCAACTTTTGGTTCCCTTCCTATCTGCAGAAGCTCGGTATCTGTTTTTTATTCTTCAGTTATTTTCTTTTGCATCCTCTCTTCTTCCCACTCCCTCCCTTCTTCCCCTTCCCATTTGAAAAATATCTCCCTACTTCCTATTACTACCTTTTATTGTGTTTTTTAGAGTATTTGCTGCTGAAGTAAGCACTTATTTTGCTTTTTAATCTGTATTTGCAGTTCCTTGTATAGAAGAAACTATGTGTCATTTAAGTACATGTGTTAGATTTATTCCAATTAATATTATGGTCTCAGGACCAGGAATGGTGGCACTTGCCTCTAATCCCAGCACTCAGGAGGCGGAGGCAGGAGGATCGCCATGAGTTCAAGGCCATCCTGGTCCACATAGTGAGTTCAGGAACAGCCTGAACTAGACAACGAGACCCTGTCTCAAAAAACAAAAACAAAAAAATATGGTCTCTAGAGCCAAGGACATAGCTCAGAGGCATAGTGCCTGCCTGGCAAGCACAAGGTCATGAGTTCAATCCTTAGTATCCCCCTACCAAATATGGTCTCAAGGTGCGTCCATTTACTTACAAATGCCTCAACTTTATCATTCTTTATGACAGAGTTATACTCCATTGTGCATAAATACCACATTTTCATTATCCATCTGTTCTTGAGCATATAGACTATTTTCAAGATTTAGCTGTCATTAATTCTGCTGCTATAAACATGGATATGCATGCATCACTGTAATATTAACACTATTGACTTTAACTCTTTTGAAAACACACATATAAGAGGAATAGCTAGGTCAAATGAAATTTCTACTTTTTTTTGGGAAATCTCCATACTGTTTTTCATAGTGGGTGTGCTAGTTTACATTCCCACCAACAATGAAGAAGGGTTTCTTCTTCCCCTACAGCCTCTCCTGCATTTATTGATTTCTTGATGATAGCCATTCTCTTTGGAGTAAGATGGTATGTTAGTACTATTTTAATTTGCATTGCTCTAATAATGTTAAACATTTTTTCATGTATTTATTGCCCATTTGTATTTCTTCTAAGCAGTGTCTCTTCAATTCAGGTACCCAGTTCTTGACTGGATCTTTTATTTTGAGGGGGTCTAATTTTTTTTAGTTCTTTACATATTTTAGATGTTAGTCCTCTGCCCAAAGCATAGCTGGCAAAATTTTTTTCACATTCTATATGTTGTCTCTTCATTCTGTTGGTTGTTTCTCTTGCTGTGCAGAAGCCTTTTAATTTGATGTGATCCCATTTGCTGGTTCTTGGTATTTCATTTCTTGTGCTTTCTGCAGTTCTATCTAAAAAGTCCTAACCTACACCTATGTCTTCATGAGTTTTGCCTATTTTATCTTGTTAGCAAATCAAGTATTTCTGTTTAACTGTTTAGATCACTGATGTATTTCGATTTTAGTTTAGTACATGGTAAGTGATACAGGTCTAGCTTCAGTCTTCTGCACATCAATATCCAATATTTCCCGCACCATTTATTAAAGAAGTTACCTTAGGGCCAGGGGTTTAGCTCAGCGGCATAAGTGCCTGCTTGGCAAGTACAAAGTTGTGAGTTTGATCCCTAGTACGGTAAAAACAACAATAACAACAACAACAAAACAACTTTCTAATAAAGAAGTTAACTTCCTTCTAGTGTAAGTTTTTGGCCCCTTTGTCAAAGATCAAAGAGCTGAATGTGCCTGGGGTTGCTCCTGCATCCTTTCTGCCTGCTGTCCCACTGATCCACATGCCAGTGCCATGCTGTTTGTAGTCACTATAGCTTTGCAATGTAATTTCAAATCTGAAATTGTGATGCCTCCTGCTTTTTTTTTTCTCCTGCTTTCCATTACCCAGGATTTCTTTCACTATCCTTCTCTTCTGGTTCTGCATAAATTTTAGGATTATTTACTATAGATATGGGAGAAATGCTATTGGTATTTTGATTGGTATTTGTTTAAATCACTTTGGGAAGCATGGTCATTTTGACTGCTTTGCCTATCCAGGAACAGAACATCTTTCTATTTTCTTCGTCTTTTTGAGGCAGAGTTTTGCCATGTAGCTCAGTCTGACTTGAACTACTTTGTAGCCCAGGTTGGCCAGGAACTCACAGCAATCCTCCTGCATCAGCCTCCTAAGCACTGGGATTACAAGCATGTGCCACAAAGCCTGACCTCTCTTCTAATGCATTCTTTGAGCTCCTTTTTCAGAGTGATATAATTTTTGTTAGAGAGGTCTTTCAGTTTCTTGATTAGGTAAATTCTTAGAAATTTAATTTTTCTTGATATTGGTGAGAATGGTCCTGTTTTTCTAACTTCTTTCTCAGTGAGTTATTATTCCACAGGAATGCTATTGATTTTTGTGTATTCAGTTTATATCCTGCTATATTGCTGAACTTGGTTAGTAACTGCAATTCTAGGAGTATTTTCATGAAGTTTTTTGGGGGATTCTTGCAATTAATGATATTTTGACTTTGTCCTTTCCTATATAAATATAGTCTTTTTATATCTCTTGTCTGATTGCTTTGGCTAATGTTTCAATGGTTATTTTGAACAGGATAGTGGACATTCTTGTTTCTGATTTTAGAAAGAAAACTTTGCGTTTTTCTCCATTTAATATGATATTGGCAGTAGGTTTGCCATAAATGACCTATGAAAATTTAAAAATCTAAAGAGTATCATCAACCAGTGAAAACATGAATAAAATTATACTTAATTTTACTCATTTAATTATACTTAATTTTTTGTGTGATGCTAGGAATAAAATCGAGGGCTTTGTGGCATTCTCAAACTTTTATGCCTTTAAATCTAGCCTTCAAAAAACTTCACTACGTGAGGTTTGATACAAGTCTCTCTAACTTACAAGCATATTTGCACAATTTTCTACTTATAATGAATATTTTTACAATGCATAGCCAACCTTGTACGTTATAGTCTGGCAGTTTTCATCCACCGAAGAATTAAGGATCGGAAACTGTAGCAATCCCAAAGAAGCAGCCTGTTTAAACAGAAAGAGAATGCAACATTTTTAACTCTGAAAAACCAGAGAACTGAACGCAGTGAGAGACATAAAAGGAGAGGGAGGGACAGAGAGAAGGAGGGCAGAAACGAGGGAAGGGGGAGGAGGGAGAGAGAGACTCTTATTTATGCTGAGTTTTAATTTCAAATCTACATATACTGAGGCACATTAAATACTGTAGTTTCACCAGTATCATGAAAAAGTGAAAAATTATAAATAGGTAAATACAGGAAATAGTTTGTAAATATCAAGGGGATTTTGAAAATAACTATACAGACTGAACAAAGTCCCAAAGAAAATGTCTCAGTTCTGACTTTCTCATTTTCATGCAGTATCTTAAGTTTTCTCTGAGAAGCAAACCAGTAGTTCAAAACTACAGTAGGAATCAAAATGCAAAAAAGTAGATAAGCTATTTCCCTGTGTAGAAAGAACAGGTGATAAGGATTCGATATGCACCCACTACAAGGCCCAAGTGTTCCACCTGGTGTCCTTGCCAAGCGAAGGTCAGAGCTGGCTCCAGTTCTTACAGGAGAGCCCAAGTCTTACTAAACCATGTTAATCTCTCTTCTGCCTTCCCCTTCGTCTGAAGCCTTCTTTGGTCTCTAAGACCGTTCCTTCCTTGTCTAAATTCATATTTCCCTACTGGTTCCCAAAACGTTCTTGATACTTAAAAGTGTTTCGGCCCATCCAGGAACTAGAACTCAAAGAGCACACACTGCATTTGGTGCCCACACTTTGCATTGAGTTTAAAGAGAGCAAAATAAAAATGCTTACGATTGTTCTTAAGAAGAATTCCCTCTCTCTATTACCTTGTATTTTCTCTGTGTTGTGTTATTTTTATCTGTGGATTGTTGGTCTCCACAGTAAAAATAAAATAAAATAAAATAATCTTTGAATTAGACAGTTAAGGGAAGAGTTTAAATATATAGAGTGGGGTTTCACAGTTATTAGTTTAGTTTTAAGATAGGTAAAGAAAGTAGCTCAGTGAAACACAAATATAACAAAAAACATTTGCTATAAAGTCCATAGTCCTTATGACTTGAAAATTTCAGCAAGTATTTGACTTAATAACTTTAATGTTCTTCATGCAACTGAGGTTAATCTAAAGAGTTACACATAAAAACAGTGCTTTGAGTATAATCCAAATTTTATAAAAGGAAATACAAGCTATGTGTCCTTTTTTTCTTCCATGTAATATTCTGTAATAGTTTCTCTTTTTTCTAAGTTAAATTTGTACTCTTGAAAATAAATGCATTTAAAGATGATGTAATTATAGTATTGTATTTTGTTTGAGAATTAATATAACATTAAGATTTTTTAAAATAAGAAATCAAGAAGGAAATATAACTTAATACTCTTTTATCAGTTTTTGTTTACATGCAATATAGCTTGCTGGTGTAAAGTAAGACAATAAAAGAACAGATAAAAATAAATTTGGAAGTCATGATGGACAATAAAGTTCTGTTATAGTGTGATTGAATTAAAATAATCCAGACACAAACAGATAATTGTAGTGATAGACTGAATTTAAACCCGCAAACAATTTGGTAGTACTATACTTACAAATGTTCTGAAACTTCTATGCCAGTTTAAAACAAAGTACACTACATTTTATTTTTGAGCTATAGGTATTTCATTTAAATTGCAATAATGGAGAAAAATGGCAATAAGAGAGTCAATATGTAAACAGATTTGCCCTCATTGAGGTGAGAACAGGGACCTGGCCCAAAATCTAGTGGGGCTCTCTTGCTCATTAAGATGAAATTAAGACTCCCACGGTGTATGTGTGTTGAAACGGTTTCTGTGTAGTTCCAGGCTGGCCTTGAATTCACTGCTAGCTCAGGATAGCCTTGGACTTGAGATGATCCTTCTGCTTCAGCTTGACTGCTGGGGTCACCAGCATGTGGCACCATGCCCGGTGTAGCCATGGGGAAGCTATGCTGTTCTTCCCCAAGAACAGGGCCTTGCTCCAATAACCCTTCAAACACATTTTTTAACTTTGCATCTCTTATTTTTTTCCTCAGCCTACAAATCTGCTCAGCTTTTCCTTGAGGATGTGTGTGTGTGTGTGTGAGGGGGGAATCTTTCCTTGTCTACAAACAGCCACTTTAACTGCCCTCAGTTAGTACCCTCTGCCCTATCTGCCTTCCACCATGTTTCTTTAGCATTTCTTTTTCCCTCAGCTCCCACTCATTCTCTAATATATGGCAATCAAGCTTCCACTTCAACATCTCACTCAGTCAGTTCTGGCAGAGGACACTGTGACCTGTAAGTTCTACTCCAATAGCCTTATGCTATGCGACTTTGTAAGCCTATGACCGCCACCTACTCCCCTCTGTCTGAGTCTGAGAGGCTGAATCAATGGCTCCATTCCTATACAAACACAGCCTGCATTCATATCCCTTAACAGTGCTCTCGAGTGCTGAACTCAGGTAGGTGACCTGCTTTTTGGCCAGTGAAACAGAACAAATATTGATGGAGAAAAGCTTGCAGTAAAAGGGCTTGACTTCACTACCTGTGAGATCAGCACTGAACTCTCTCTTCCAGGCTCTGCTCCATCAAGTTTGCTCTTGCTAATTGAGCATTTCTGTTCCATCTCTTCATCCCTCTCTGTCAGCACGAGGATACCACGCTGAGGCGAGAGGCTGGGGAGATGAAGGAGATGTCTGGGAGAGAATCGGGGTCAGCCTACCCAGATTGTCCCGTACCAGTAACCCCCTGCCAACCTGCGAGCTGACTGCAGACATGGGAGAGCTCAGCCAATGTCAGCAGATCAGCATGCTTGCCTATAAACTTGTAAGTCAAAAGTAGCTGTTTATTTTATTTTATTAACTTTTTGTAGCTGTTGTTTAAACCATTACATTAACATCACTTACTTGGCTTCTAAGTGACTCTTTCCTGTTCTCCTATGGACACATCACTGCCTCCAGCCTCGTCTCACCCTCCTTCGTTGTTTTTGTCAGCTCAACTTCTGCTTCCACTTGTGAAACTCTTAGCTGCATTCCCATTCATGCACAATTTGGGTGACACCATTCATTTGTTTCAGTTGCCTCATCTCAAGTCAAAATGTTCTCCTTTTATATGGAGACATTACCACCACTCATGTTTACAGAGCATCCACTTGTCAGAGTGGTTGCTAAAGGAAAGTGCTTTCGTTTTCATACAGCTCAGAATCCAGTGAAGAGACAAAAAAAGTAAATGCTGGCAACAATGGGAAACAAAAGAGCTTTTGACTCAAACAGTGACAGTCACAGAAGCCACTGGATGTTTGTATCCGAGCACAATTTGGTATTCAGGATATGCAGGTGGTAGATCAAGAGAGGACAGGGTATTTCAGGTGGAAAGAGGATGGGGCATTTCAGGTAGAAGTGGACAGTCCAGCCACTCTGTGTAGTTTAATGTAGCTAAAACAGAGGGAGTCACTATGAGACAGAGAAGAATAGAGAGGTAGGCAGCAGAGACTTACAAAATCATTTGAATGTCACGGTGTGGGATTTGGAAGCTGCCCAAAAGGAAATGAAAGTGAACCATTCCAAAGAATCAAATAGTGACACAATAATTTGATTCATGGAACATTATCCTTGGTGCAGAACGAAGAAAAGGCAGGAGTGGCACCACACTGGAGTTTAAGACATCAATATGAGCTTTTGAATAAAACAGACCAGAATCAGAAATTTGCTTTTCCATTTGTTAGCTATGTGTTCCTGACGAGTTTCTCTAAATAAAGTATGGACAGTAAGAGTTACATGTCAGGGTTACTCTGAGAATGATGAGATATGGTACACAGCGTGCTTACTGCAGGTCCCAGCACACAGTAGCTGCTACTTAATACTCATTATGTGGACTAAGTTGTAAATTGCTTAAGGTCTGCTGATGGTCTAATTCTATTTTATACCGGCTTCAAGGCCACCGTGTGGATCTGATAAGTGAATGAAAACAAATAGATGTTTGTAATATGTAAATTTAGTACTAAATCTCATTTTAGAACAAACCAGGATTTTTTGGTGATCCTTTCAGAATTAAAGGTGTTACTTACTTGTCAGGACAATCCCTATGTAGTTCAAGGAAGTAAGCAGATAAAAATATGGCACAGAGATTTAAACTTTATAAACCCCAAAGAAATAAAGAAGTGGGGGGGGGTCCACATTTTTCTAACTATACAATGTGGTAAGAAGTAATATTTTTATTCAATCTAATTAACACATTGAATCTTTGTGGAAAAAGATGTAAATGTTCTCCTATTCAAGCCTTGTTTGAAATGAATGAAATCTCACCTTTATGAAAAAAGGCATGTAGGAGAGTTTAATTCCACGAGCCAAAGCAATGGGTTTTAATTCTTCTCGTAGCTTAAGCAGTTCAGTAAGATCAACCTCATCACAATACCCAAAGTGTGGTATCTTCAGAGCTGCAGACATGGTCTTGACCATTGCTTTTTGAAAGCCTGGAAAACATCCAATCATAATTTACAAATCTGTTAATGTATTACAATACAGAATTTAACAGTGCATACAAAGTGAACTGTTTCCTTGGAAAACTGTTATTTCACAATAAAAAATATGTGCTGAATTTGTACTTTCCCTTTAGTAAGATGTGAAAGCATTGTATTATAAATATGCATTTATAGTAGCTTCCCCCCCCCCAATACACACTACTATTATTATTTATTACCTGTTATAGGTTCTGTTTTGTCTTTGCCTATGAATACTGGAGGTTTTGATATTGGGATGGGAACAGTTCTGTCTTTTGGTTGTGCTGGAGGTGGTATAATTTCAGCCTTTGGTGAAGGAGGTAATATGGCTCCTGTTTGCTTTTCCAAATAGTTGAGAATATCTTCTTTAAGTACTCTGCCATCTTTTCCTGAGCCAACAACTTCACTCAGCTTAATCTAAAAAATAACACAGTTTATACTAAAACTACAACTATTTAAGAATAAATCTGTATTACAGTTTACAAATGGAATACAATCATTCTATTTTTGATACAGTGTTTTGTTATGCATTCTAGGCTGGCTTGGAACTCATTACGTATCCCAGTCTAGCCATGAATTAGTAGCAGTCCTCCTGAACCCTGTAACAAATTTAAACCAAGCTTTATGATGTTGCCTCCCAGGTAAACACAAAATAGCTTAAAGTCAGTTCCTGGTTTGGTTTCCATATTTGATGTACTTAATGGTACGTAAAGTTTAATTTAGGATATAAAACATAATTTACATTAACTTTTCCCTGATTTTGTATATAACTTTTCCCTGATTTGTATATGTTATATAGCCTAATTTTTGGCTCTATAACATAAGAAGTGCAATGCATGGTGGTATACACCTGTATTTTCTGCTACTCAGGAAACTAAGGCAGGAGGATCACAAGCTTCAGGCCACCCTGGGCAACACAGTGTGACTCTATCTCAAAATAAGAAATAAAAATAGCTGAGGATGTGGTAGAGCAACTCGCCAGACATGTGAGGCCCTGGATTCAATCCTAAGTACAGCAAAAGCAAACAAAAAAACATGTGGAAAAATATAACCTAGATTGTTTTCTCGGGCTGGTATACCAAGGACAAGGTAACTACCTGAATGAATACAAAATTTTTAATGAGGCTATTGTGGACTTTCCAGATGTACACTTTTTATTGTCATTATAACAACTATTTTTCTCAAAAACAGACAAAAAGTCTGCATTTGGGGGCACAGTAGAAAGAACTCAGGCTTTGAAACCAGACAGATTTGCATTCAAATCCTCAGTTCAGTTACTCACTTAACTTTATGCAAGTTTATTAACTTCCCTGGACTGTATTAGTCAGCTTCTTAGCAATGGAACCAAATACCCAACACCCACAACATAAAGGAGAGACTCCTTCAGCTTATGGTTTCAGAAGATTCAGGTAAAGACAGGATCATTATGGTGGAAAATGATGGCAGAATAAAGCTGCTTAGTTCACAGTGACAGAGAAGCAGGGTAGGGAAGTGGCAGAGAGGTGTCGGTCAGGGAGTAGACATGTAGCACCTATACGACCCAGCCAGACACACCCAGGAGTGTCTTTTCTTTACTAATTCTCTAGACAGCTCCCAAAACAATCTAGCTTAACCATCACATCTCCCGCTATGTCAACTGGACATCTCCCTAAATTGTACTTAATCTCCAAAAGAACACAATACCAAGTCAATAATTCTACTTAACACAGCTATCTTGTCTACATTCAAAAATGCACTAATTTTTTACATAGAATAGGAGGCAAAGGTTTTCTGTGAGCCTTCTGATATTGTATAATTTATAATACAGATTTAACAAAACATTAGTACCTATAAAGTCAATCAATGTTATGTTACTTGGTGTAAGAATACAAAGAAAAAATTCAAAGACATCTCCTGAATATATGTGTGTATATATGCAAAAGCACATTAACAAAATAGGAAAGAAATATTTATGACAATTAAAATCCTCACTTTTATCATTGGTCACAAGAGTGGGGCTAGTACAATGGTATTTCAGTTCATAAATACTTCTGTTTGTGAAAAATTACATTTTCGTTTGCAAACTTTGCATTAGGTGATGAACACAATCACGGCCATCTTTCCTCCATGTACATGAACATGACCATCTTTTCCAGAATTGTGGAAGAAATTAAATTTGTGAACCAAGGAACCACTGTATCTTTACTTAGTTCTTGGCCTTCAGCAAGCACTTCAGTGGGTCTTGGTCCTTTTTAATGTTGCTAATCTCTTTGACATCCACACCTTTTTCAGCACCAACTTCATATATTGTTCTTTTGCAGTCAAAATTCTTTCAAACAATTTTCTGCTCTACTTTTTGACAGATTCTCACTACAAGTCTGACTAAAACATTGGGTTGCTCTGAAATTTCTTCAGCCTGATCAATTAGTTCACTACCCTTAATCTCATTCTCCTTCGTGGTCTTAGGAAAGGGACAAAATGTAGACAAAATTTTTGCCAAAGTGTAATACACGTGCCCTCTAATCAAATTGCCAGTGAAGTCTGTGTTCCTAATTTAAACCTCCTGAGCTTGGCTTTTACTGTCCTCATTCCTATCAGCATCCTGTCCCCCTTACCTCTGACATCAGGCTTTGATTACAGCCTTTTAGGATTTTGCAAGCCTAATTCTCCAACTTTTTCCAAACTCCTGTCCTAAACCAACTCCAAATATTTCCAAACTTCATTTCTAGGTGCATTCACAGCAATGGCTCCCTCTTGGTATCAATTTTCTGTATTAGTCAGTTTTCCTGTCACTGCAAGCAAATACCTGACACCTAAAATTTAAAGGAACTAATCAAGCTGACAATTAAGCTTAACCATCACACTGATCTTTTTCATCAGTAAAATGGTAATAATTCAAACCACTCTGTGATTGTGAGAATTGAAAATATGTGTATAATGTTGGGCACACGTGTGCTCCAATAACAGAGGCAATGATTGTTTAGGAAATATATGACTGAGAAAAATTTTTTTGAAGTGACTCAGACTCGCTGTTAAGTTCTTTTTTGTTAAGTGGAGTATTGTTTATGTTTTTGCTTGTTGAGATAGTTTCGCTATACAGTTCAGGCTAGCCTTAGATTCACTATGTACCCTAGGCTGGCCTTGAAATCCCAGCAATCCTCCTTGCCTCAGCTTTCCATGTGCTGGGATTATAGGCATGTGCCATCATGCCCAGCTCAACTCACTGTTAAACTCTGGCTCCACAGCTGTATAAGCTGTGTAACCTCGGGCATATTACTTTACTTCTGCAAATCTTAGAATGCTTCTGTATCTCAGCGGGTTAAATGAAATAATATGTAAATACTTGCCACAGTGACAAGGAACCATCTTGCTTGGTATTCTACCCTCTATTCAGTTAACGATTGCGCTATGATTTGGATCTGGAATGTCCCATGTGTTAAAAGCACTATTGGGAACTGGGGAAAGCTTTAGGAAGTAGGACTTTGCAGGAGATCTTGTGATTATTTTTTTATCGGTACCGGTGATCAAACTCATGACTGCCTGCTTGCAAGGCAAGTGCTTATGTCGTTGAGCTAAATCCCCAGCGCCCGATCTTGTGGTTATTATAAATGTTCCCTCAAAAGTAACTGTGAGATGCTAGTTTCTTTCTTTTTCTCTTTTAGTTCCTATGGGGTAACTAAGCTTCCTCTGCTACATACTACTGTAATGTACTGTCACAGGTTCAAATGGTTAATTGGACTAAAAGCTCTGACACTGTGAACCATTTCCTCTTTAATTTGGGTATCTATTTTGTTATAGCAACAGGAAGCTAACACTGGGTGACAACGGGAAAACAAATGATAGGCTTCTTTACCTAAAGGCAGTACAGCTCTGTGGTTCTCCCTCTTCTTCTGGATCAGTGTAAATCTTTGATACCACATGTATGCCTGGACCAGTCCCCTTCTTTGGTTTCCCTACCTGCTTTTCTGATTTGCTGTATAGGGCTTCACTTCTACAAATCAATCACAGAAAGCTAAATTACTGTCTTACTGTGCTTCTATATCATCTGACTTATGACACTGGTATTTACAATGCTCAGTAAAAAGTAGCTCTGACTATATTACTTGGTTCTGAGGAAGAATAAAATAACATACTCAATTCATGGTAAACTAATAACATATTCATAATGTCTTCTCATATCTTCCTACATCTCCCAGTAGATAGTGATACAGCTTTTATATCACTATCAGTTTTCACTAGGAGATTTTTTTCATATTTTTGTTAATACCAGTGTACGCCATTTCGTCACAGGACAGTTGACCATTTTTTTTTAGCGATTCAAACCTATACTTTCTATTGCAATCTCAGATTTAAATATCAAGCAAACTTACATTGTTTTCCATTGCTAGGCGACGGACTGCAGGAGTTGCTAGTGTTTTCTGGCCCTTTATCTCTTGGTGTGTGTGTTCATCATGGGATACTGCAGGAGTTTCAACAACATCTTCTTCTGAATCTGGTAATAAGGTAAAACTTAACATCAGTTGAAAAATATCTGTTTAGAGAGCTTAATGGCCTATAACTAAGACAAAATCTAAAATTTAAAGATTATAGCCAAAATATGTTTGGCTCCTTTAGAATGGGAAAACACAACTTCCATAGTGGTTGGTGTGGGAACGTGTGGCAATACGTGGTATTGGTTAAGTATTTGTACCTAGGGTATGTTTCCCATCTCCTGGAAACACATGGAAGCCATAAGTTAATTTGAGAATTTCTTCCATACACTTTCATTTTGTTCTCTTTTTGACTCAGGTCTCACTATGTAGTTCAGGCTGGCCTTGAACTCACTCTGTAACTCAGGCTGGCCATCAAATTACAGCAATTTTCCTGCCTCATCCTCCTGGATGCTAGGATTACAGGCATGTGCCACCACACCAACCTCTTCCATAAATGTTAAAATAGTTCCCTGATAAGATTCTTGTTTACATTTATACACATGTAAAATAAGAATCCAATGTGATATAAATTATATGAAATAATTCTACACAATTTGTGACTGTCTTAAAAATTCTTCTGTGATGTAGCACTTAAATATTTGTTGTGCTGTGAATGTGGCTTAAGGAATGAGGTACAGCCAATGCTAATTTGGTTGGTTGATTCGTTAGCTCTAAAATTCTGTTACAAGAAGAATTATCAAGCTAATAACATGTAGTTTTGGAAGAAAAAAATATATTTGAGAGTATTAAGTTTGTCACTAGAAAAATCAATGACATAGCAGAATTTTCTGTATAAATTGAAAAATTAAAAACTTAGCTTCTAAAATTCAGGAGATAACCTGGTCTATTTTGACATTCAGCTATTATTATATTTGGTGGTGCTAGGGATTGAACATAGGGCCTTCACAAGAATTATATTCTGAGCCCTTTTTATTTTTAATTTTGAGATAAGGTCTTGCTACAAATAGTTGCCCAGGCTAGGGTCAAACTTGTGATCCTCTGGTCATGGTCCCCCAACATGCTGGGTAGGATCACAGGTTATGTGACACCATGATTGGTGACATTCAATTTTAAGAAAATAAAAATCTTCCACGCTGCAACTGTAAAATGATAGTCTATTCCTCTCCACTAGTCTATAAATTGGCCTGGTGGTACTCTCAAAGTTTTCTAAAGGGTGACAAAGTTTTAAAAAAATTTATTGGGCACTAAGTTTTGCATTACTTATAAAATATCACAATTTACTCTCCAATACAATTGTGAAAGATAGACATTATTATTCGCATGTTATAGAGTTAAAACAAATGAGGCTTAGGCCGGGGATTTAGTTGAATGGCATGTGCCCCTGCCTGGCAAGCATGAGGTCGTGAGTTTGATTCCTGGTACCAAGAAAAAAGACTTGAGAGATATAGGAATTGGTCAAAGGTCACATACTTAATAAATTTTTTTTCTTTTTTTTTTTTGTATTTTTGTATTTTTACCGGTACCAGGAATCGAACTCACAACCACGTGCTTGCAAGGCAGGCGCATATGCCGCTGAGCTAAATCCCCAGTCCCACATACTTAATAAATTAAAGAGCTGAAATTCTAGGGCTGACTCAGACTGTGTTGTTTTCACTCTTCATGGCCCTAGAAAATTGTTCTTCTGATATTTTCAAAGTAAAATTGAACTCCTATTATTTAAAGAATTTTATTTACCTTTCAAAGTCCCTATATATTTTCCATATCTGGAAAAAAATTATTGCAGATACTAGTAAGAAAAATTGGCCTTAAGAACTAAAATCCAAAGGAAAATCAAAGGACCTCAACATTAGAATGGATAATGCATACTTGCTGAAATCAGAGAAATGCATACATACTAAAATATAATATGCTGCAAAATCAGTATATACATTTCAGAAAGATTAAGCACTTTACTGCTATTTACCTTCTTGGAAAACATTTTGATATAGCACTTATAGAGGAGTGCCTTGTAGAGTAACTCACTTATGAGAGGTCATTCAGTAATTATTTGTAGTTAGATGTAGTTGTTGGAAGAAAGTTCTCTTAATAAAATGCCACTTTACTGCATAGCACTTCAAGTAAGTTTTAAAGTATTTTTATACATATTTTCCTCTTTGATGAATAAAAAAAAAAGTTATAAAAAGGTAAGATGTTAACCAACATAGAAACACACACCAAGGGTATAGAGTTAAAACTAAACTTGTATTTCATCATTTTCTCATTGATGTGGTTTAAAAGGCTATAGCAGTACAACTCTAGTACATGAGATTTAATCTTTTATGGCTGATCTTTAGTTGATAAATCAGAGTACACTTTAAAAAGTTTTTAAAAATATCTTATAAGAGAACAAAAGAACTTTGGTTAAGTAAGCACTTTTTCTTATGAACTCTCATATAACTTTAGTGGATAAAAATCCTGATTTAAAGCAAATGTATAATAAAACCACATTATTTCAGATTAATTCAGTAAAAGAGTAACTGAATTTGTACAAATATAAAACTGTGTAAATGCAACATGCCTTGGCATTTCAAAAATTATTTCTAAAAACTATATTAAGTAGTCTTGTTAATTTAATTACCTGGGGGAAATTTGGGGTGAGGGGGCAGGAATGTTTTGAAATTCTACAGCATACGTGTATGTTTGGAAGTTCTTTCTTCATAGCACAAATATAAACTTTAGTTTGTGCCTGTCAAAATGATCATAAACTGTGAATTAATGACATACAAAGTAATGAAATTTCATTGCATTTTCTTTCTTACTTCAATTTATTAAAACAGTAGCCAGGCATGGTGGTGCACGCTCATGATCTTAGCACTCAGAAGATGAAGACAGGCAAGATCACTGTGAGTTCAAGACCAGCCTGACCACAACACAAGACCTTGTATTTTTAAAAAAAATTTTTTAAAAAGCGGGTTATTTACCATTTAATCTCAATGTTGCTTGAGTCATATGTGAATTATAATCTCTATAAGTAAAGGAAATAATCTGAACACAGCTCAGAGAAAGCACTCCAAAGGACACAACTGATGTGAAGGGACAAATGCAATATAAAGCAGAATAATACAGTTTCGTGGAGAATTCTAACACCGATGTACCTGCATCTCTTCCCTCGGCACTGATGGGTGGCACTAAGACCCCTCACTTAGCTAGAATAACTCTACTCTTCCCTAGTGTGCAGTGTCCAAGCAATTTAACCCTGTACACAGCCTCAGGAGCTGACCACTGAAAATAGCTGCCACATAGCCTTAACATGAAAGCTACACACTTTCTTCCAAAGAAGTTATTGAGGCTCTCACTCAGATTGTATTTTCTCTTCTTTGCACCTACAGTTGTCTCAGTATTCATGGGGATGGATTCCTGGACTTCCCACAGCTACAACACAAGGCTATTCAAATCTCTTAAAAGGAGAAAGGAGAAGGAAGACAAGGAAGGAGGAGGAGAGAAACAATAGGGAGTAAAGGAGCAAGAACAGGAGGGAGGAATAAAAATATTAATGTAGAATCAAGATGGTGGGAAGTATCCTTAGTGCCTACATTATAGTCTCATATGCATTTCACACTAAGGAAGAACTGAAGAAATGGAGGAGTCCAACACTGGGACAGGAAAACATAACGCAAGTCCTGGAACTTCAGTCCAAATCGAGTGAATTTCTAAAGTTAACAGGGCCATGTTAAAAGAACACAGGGGAGCTGGCTTGAAGGAATCACCATCACAACCACTTGAACACTACAAAGCTTAATGATTGTATCAAACACAGGCCATTAATAAAGACAGATTAGTATTACAATTGGAATTGGTTACTATTCCAACTCCTTACTTTGAACATTGATAAAGGAAAAGACTTAAATATTTGTTGCCTTTCCTGTAGAAATTGTACTTCAGAGTAACTATATCTCCAATTGATAAGTCCAGCTACAAACTTTAAAGGAAACAAAGAATCCAAAATTTATCATTCTACAACCACTAAAGCAATTGTTGATTTAGGAAGGATTTTCAAAAATGGTATTATAGATTACCTATTTACTGACAAGTAACGCCACATAGATAACTTTCAGGCTGCAAAGGGGAAAAAAGATACCTGTATAGTGGAGGGGGACCCTTGCCTACGTCAGTGTTTAAACTTAGTCTCACAATGGTCCACCATCTGGTGTCATGTGTATCTGATGGAAAGCAAGACGAAGTATACAATATCAGAATATATTCTAGACACAATATTTATCTTGAATCCAGTTTTTAAACCCATTTCCAATTTACAGGAAATGTAAAAATGTGAGGTTTGGTAGCTGCATTTTTTCAATGCAAGGAAACAGAATGCTCACCACTGAAATGCTTTATTAAGACAGATTTATTAACAAAATAAAGTTCTTATGTTCTACATTTTTAAAAAATAACATACAGGAGAATGGCCTAGGATAAAAGAAACATGCATTGTAGTAACTGGGTGCAATACACATTCATACACTGGATCCTAATTTGAAAAAAAACAACTGAAATTTCAAGGAGATTTGGGGACAATTGGGGAAACTGAAAATATACTGTGGCATACAACAAAATAAGGATGTACTGTCATGAAAACACATAGATCATTAACTAAGCAAACAACGGGTTATGGCATGTACAACATATTATTTTTGTTTTTAAAAAAAGCCTATATGTAGATATGTCCTAGAAAATGACACAGACTTATTTGTTAAGCAGTAGTGATTTCTGGGTAGAAGAACGTATGTTTCTATTTTCTGGTTTTTGTTTTGTATGTATTTTATAATTTTTTATAGTAACATATCCTGCTTTAATATAATAAAAGTTAAATCATTAAAACTTTCAATAAGCTATTTTCTAACTTTTAGAGGCAACATTACACTGAAAAATATTCTATGTTGCTTAGGATATCTAAATCCTAAATTCAACCCCGTTAGTTAGGCCTGGGGTGTAGCTCAGGAGCAGAGCACTTGCCTAACATACATGAAGCTCTGGGTTCAGTCTCCAGCACTAACAAAAAGAAATGAGTACTTAAATTAATACAGCTCTGCCACTTACCATTGAGCAAATAGTCCCAACTTTCTAGTTGAGTCTATTCCTTTTTCTGTGGAGCTAGAATTCCTCACAGGGAACAATAAAGCAAAATAATAGCGTAAAATATTTCATGTGTTATGGATACTAGCGTAGGAGTCCTACCACAGACCTTGCTCCTCTTCCAGCTCCTGGTATGGAAGCTATTCCAGAGCACATAACCTTGATGAACTGTGAGCTAGAGAACCAGCTACTCCTCCAACGAGACTGCTCACTGTTTTACCTCTCCTCCGCAACGGCCTCACAATGAATTCCTCTGTGTCATGACATCTACAGCTTGTAAGGTACATAGTTGCTGCTCTTTCTGAATGCTGGCTTCTTCATGTTCACTGATTTTCCTTCTTTTAGCTTCTACTTTTCTTGAAGAAGTTTGGCTTTCATAACCGTCACTGATTATTTTCCAGATAAATAGACAGACAGATAGATAGATAGATGCCAGTAGCTGCTATGGTTTGGTGTGATTTGAGTGTTCTCTAAGGGTCCACTGTGATTAGAGGCATGGTTGCAATACGGAGACATGCAGTGGGGCCTAAGGACTGGGGCCTCGTCCTTAGGACACTGGGTGGGGGGAGTGACACACTCAGAAGGTAGTTCTCTTGCTACCCTTGAATCTCTCTCTTCTGGTTCATGATGTGACCACTTGTTCACACAAATACTCCTGCCACAATGTGTTGCCTCCTGCTATCTTCACCAAATACCAAACTAATGAGCTCAGTCCTCAACTCTGAGGCTACTTCTTTACTCTGTAAGTAGCCTATGTTAGGCATTTTGTTACAGTAATGAAAAGATGACCAATACAAGTGTCAAACAGAACAATCCTATTATTTTGATTTTCTTACACCCCATTTATTCTTAGTGACCTTAGTGCTCAGGACATGAATCTTTTAATTCCTGTGTGCTTATTCTTTGAACACTAAGGTTTCTAGATGGCAGCACTGCATAAAAATGAAATCTTACTTCATGTATTTTTAATTTGGTAACTGATCAAAAATAATCATGTAGCTGGGCATTGAGGCACATGCATGTAGTCCTAGCACTTTGGAGGAAAGCTGTGAGTTTAAGGCCACATGGCCTATCTAGTGAGTTCAAGGCCAACCTGAATTTCATAGTGAGATCTTGTCTTAAAAAAAAAAAAAGAAAAGAAAAGATCACACATCACAGGAATCTTCTGTTTTCCTAATTTTGTCATCTAAATCCTAATGTCTAATCCTGTAAAATCGTTAAAAGTAAAAATCATTTTTTGTTAGGACCCAGTGACAAAAGGACAGCAGTAATCATTTTGGTAAAACAGATGAGCGCATTTACAGTACCTTTCAAAGCTTCCGTCTCTATGTCTACTAATGGCTTCCCCACATAGGCAATATCATCTAGATTATAATAGAGTTTTTTAATGACTCCATCATAGCGACTAGTGATGGTAACAGAAGCTTTATCACTCTGAACTTCACAGATGCTATCAAATTGAGACACCGTATCTCCTTCTTTTACATACCTAAAAGAAACACATGAAACATTTTTTTTGTAACTCTTTTTTTTTTTTTTGTCTTTTTCCTTTTTATCGGTACCAGGGATTGAACTCATGACTGCCTGCTTGCAAGGCAGGCACTTATGCCGCTGAGCTAAATCCCCAGTCTCTAACATGAAACATTTTTACAGGAACAATCTTGCTTACCAATCATCCTAACACGGTAAATGCTATACTAGCTTACATCACTATCTATCCAGCACCATGTTTATTCCAGACAGTGCACCAAAGAATGCTTCAGAGATGATAGTGGCATCCAGAGTCTTTTCAATATATCTTCAAGAAACACTAAAACTTTGGGCTAGACATGGTGGTGCTTGCGTGTAATTCTACCATAGAGGAGGCTGAGACAGGAGGACTGCTCTGAGTTTGAGGCCAGCCTGGGCTCTATAGTGAGTTCAAGGCCAGCCTGAACTATATAGTGAGACCCTGTCTTGAACAACAAAAACAAATAGAAAAGAAACTCTAAAATATTAAAGGCTATTCATAGATCTAAATATATAATTGTACTTGTATGTTTTCTGCTGGATCTCTTTCTCAGGAAAAGAAATTTATAAAATGCTTTTTAAAAAAAGGTACTTCCTTTCATGGTCTTATGTAGGCTGAACATCCCTAACTTGAAAATCTAAACCTTAAGTTTTCAGCATTGATATAATGCTTTAAAAGGTTTTAGATTCTGGAGCATTTTAGATTTTAAATGCTCAATTATGAAGTCTATGCAAGAATTCTAAAAAATAAAATAAAAAATAAAACTTCAAAAATAAACATGATATCCTCAATGTATATCCTCTACAATTTCATGAATTTTAAATCTGAGTTCTTTCACTCTTTCTAGAATTATTTCAGCCTGTCCTTGTGTATCAATGCCTTCATCATTTTAAGAATGCTCTAATAAGCTTATGTACAAGAAAACGCGAGTCATAGCTAAGATTGCCAGTATATTTTAAAGTCAGTCTCTTCTGATTTGAAGTCTATTTTTTCATCTCACACTTCTATAATGTCACTACAAATATAATGATAAGGGTTGTTTATGTATTACAGTTCTCCTTTAACTTACAAAGTAATAATAATAAGAAATACAGAAAAAGAAAACTCAGTTGGCTGAATCAGATCTTTAACAGTATAAAAGTATGGTGGGAAAAAAATCTATTTATTCATTTTAACCAATATTTCTAAAAACCTCTAAAAAAATTGGTTCAGTATCCAGGAATGATTTCTTTTTTCCAGAAGGTAAAAAAAAAGAAAAAGAATAAAAGGTGGCTAAGGAAGAAGACAGTTTCTGACTTTTGGTTCAGCTATAAATGTAAATAAATTTTTAAAACGTTTTCACAAATTATTTTTTATGTATTTCCTTCGCAAAAATATTCTCTGAACATATAGGCACACTGTCATGCAATTGCAACTCAAATTTACATTCTAACAGAAGTAACTTTCAGTATAATGAAGACAGCTTACGCTGTAGTATGATTTTTAAAATGGTTTGGAAGGAAATTATGAGGTCATCCATTAAATACTTCTAAATACATGGTGGACTGAGGGTGTAGTTCAGTGGTAAATGCTACACACGTGCAAGCCACTGGGTTTGATTCCCAGCATCATCCCCCAAAATGTGTGTTACACACACACACACACACACATACACACACACACACACATACGCATGCGCGCGTGTGTGACCTTACATCAATTTATAATCATTTAGAAGTCAATTTTCTCTTTTCCAGCTGAAGTAAGGGATAATCAGCAAAAGAATTTTTTTTAAAAGAAAAGAACAAATAATCACTATTAAGTCACATTAAATAAAATGCTTTGGTTTAATAAATTTTGTCACTGGTATACTATCAATACAAAGTCATACTTTACTACTTACCAAAAAGGCATTATTCAAATTCAATCCTATTTATTTGTATTCAAATTAGTTTTATAGCTACTTAGATTTTTTTCAGGTTAACTTACCATTCTTTAACAGTTACTTCCCTAATTCCTTCTCCAATGTCCGAGAGTTTGAACTGAACAACCTGTCCACATAGAGCTTCAAACACAAATGAGAAATAATCGCATTAAACATATATTATTAATAGTTTTTTTATATCTAAAATTAAAAAATGTTCTCCAGGAGAGGCAGGAAATGTTCCATCTTACATTTCCTGATAAAAACACCATTTTGTAATTTTAAAAGCAAAACCACTATTCATAACCATTAAAAGTGGGAATGTTATTCCGTGACACTTGCTAACTTGCAATAGAAACTGCATTTTCCAACTTCCTCAGAAATGGTTTTTCCCAGCAATATAATTAATAAATTATAATAATACTTTTTCCAATTTTGAAATCAGTACTCCCATATTTCTTTTAACTTTAAGTCCAATTTTAGAAAATTTCAAAGGAAAGTGCGAAAATAATATTCTTTTATGGAGCAATAGAAGGTCCTATTAACAAATTAGTGAAATTTTGAAACAATAGTAGTGAAGACAAAGTGGAACAAAAATATTATGTAAAGAGGGACCCAGCTAGGTCTCTGTTTTATATTATGAAACTAATAATCATTAATACCTATTCTCAATTTCTTTTGACTTCATATAACTGTTCTTACTCTTTATGGCTAAAAATCAGGCAGCTAGATGTCTTGTGCTCTGGGTGAATGTTTCAGGGATGGCAACATGCAGTGTATGTACCATTGTCCCCTCACTGATGTGTTTTGAAATTTTTAGTTTTTTTCTTCTTCTTTTTTACTTGAAATAAAATGGATTTGAAAAAGAAATCAGGCAGCTGTATATCTAGCATACTTGATAGACAAACTCTTGATATGTTCAACATATCTTTTGCCAGCTTATCCCTAAGACTTTTTCCCTCTTTCTACTTTCTGTCCCTTTTCAAATTGCTCCCCCTCTTAACAGTACTATATTAGTGATACTGTATAATTAATCATTCCCAAAGACAGAAGACTTCTAGTCATAGAAAGCATTTGGGACACTCACTTTTCCAGGTTACAAATGGCTCTGGACCTACTCTGGAATACTCTTCTATCTTTAGACCATTCACAATACTTGCTTATAAAATATATAACAAGTTGGGCTGGGGATTTAGCTTAGTGGCCAAATGCTTGCCTGGTAAGTGCAAGGTTGTGAGTTCGATCCCCAGTACCAAGTTAATTAGATTTTTATTTTTTCTTTAATAAATACAGGAAAGAAGTTTAAAATACGTTTTTGATATGGAGGTGTTATCTCTTGTTTCCTTTGTAAGGAAACTTCGGCTTTCTAAAAAAGATTTTTAAAATAAATCTATGGGCTGGGGGTTTAGCTCAGCGGCGTAAGCGCCTGCCTTGCAAGCAGGCAGTCGTGAGTTTGATCCCCGGTACCGATAAAAAGACCAAAAAAAAAAAAAAAAAATCTATATCTTTAACTCAATTAATAGTCCCATATTAGAGTCTGGGATTTAGCTGAGTGACACAAGTGCCCGCCAGGCAAGCCTGAGGTCATGAGTTCAATTCCCAGTACAAAAAAAAAAAAATAATCATCTCACTTTAAGGCTGTTTTTCCTGATGGGCATGGTGGCACAAAACTGTAAGTCTAGCACTCAGAAGGCTGTCAGGATTGCCATAAGTTTGAAGCCAACCTGGGTTACATAAGTGAGTTCAAAGCCATTCTGAACTACATAGTGAGATCCTGTCTCAGCCCTTTCCTCTATGATTGTTTTTCCCTAAGAAACAATTAAAAAGGTATACAAAGATTTATGCTCAAGAGTGACCACCAAAAGATTAAAAAAACACAAAATAAAACTTGATAATGACAAACAGCTCTATACAATTAATAACAGGGTATGTGGCATGAAATTATGTCAGAGATAAAAAGACTATTTTTGTTTTCTTTTTTTTTTTTTTGAGACAGAGTTTCGCTATGCAGTTCAGGCTGGCCTTGAGCTCACTTTGCAGCACAGGCTGGTCTTGAACTCGCAACAATCCTCCTATCTCAGCCTCCTGAGTGCTGGGATTACAGGCGTGAGCCACCACGCTGGGCAACAAAGACTTTGTGTGTGTCTCCTAAAGGCCATCAGAAGCTAGTAATAAATGAACATGGTCATACATTAATGTGATAAATTAATAGTATGGTTGTAAATTCTTTGTAGTTGCTTCCATCAAGAGGTAGAATCTGTTGTACCACTTCTTACATCTATGCTGAGCCGTGACTTGCTTTGGCTAAAGGAATGCATACTTAGAATATTCAAAGCCCCAAATTTGACTCCCAGCACACACAAAAAAAGTGGTGAAGGTAATGTTTGCATATTGTAAGCTGTGGCAGAGGATGACACACAAAATGCATGGAAGAACAGCACCCGCCTGGAGTCCCCCAGCTTTCATTGCTTACGGCATTAAGGGCTCATGCATTTGTCAAAGCTTCATTATTGAACAAAAGTTTAGCATTTTTTTTTTCCACAATCAGGATTCTCAACAGAACATCAGGGGGAAATCTAATATGTAAACCTTCAAGTGTTTTTTTTCAGAGAGTAGAAAAAGGTAACTAAGTGGAAGAAGCAGGGAACTTTCCATTGAGGAGCACATCAGGCTTGTTTTAATGCACCCTTGTAATATCCCAGAGTTAGTGCTTCAGTCAAGAAATAAAATAATGTGTGGAAAGAGACAAAAATATTTATATTAAGCCAATAATTTATCTTGACTAAGAAGGTCATACCCATGCTAAATACTGCACTTAGATGAAACAGATAATAAAGAACAGCCCAACACAACTCTTGACAGTGATGACGTGAGCAATAAGGAAAGTATGGGGCAGGGAGGAGAAGGCAAGAGAAAGTGGAATCGGATAGATGTGGGGAAAACTAGTCTAGAAATATAGTCCACTTTTTTTTTAACTTTGGTAAGTCTTTAGTTACATTTTAAAAAAGGATAAAAAGCATTTTTTTATATATGCTATTTGAAGATCCATACTTACCTGCTGTTGTTTTCAGCAAGTGATGTGGATGATTATACTTGAGGGCAGGAAAACCCAACAAGCACAGACATTTTGGTTTCAAAATATGACCAGTACTACATGCTTGAAAATGACGAACACAAACCTACAGAGAAAATAAGAGTTTATAAATTATTGTAACAGCCTCTTTCTTTATGTATATTGAATTTCAGTTCTTCTGAAAACAAACACTATCATGACATCAATTAAAAATTACCTAAACAGAAACCAGTATACTTGGCAGCTGAAACAATCAAGTTAATGGATACTGGATATTTTCTTATGTACTTCTGTTCAAGAAATCAAAAGAACTCAATCTCTGGCACAAAGAAGATGATGTTCTACTGTTACTCTGTTTAGTAATCATATGTATAAAATCATATTTGGTCATATACTTATAATCCATGCCCAAAATTCCTTACGTATCAGGTTATAGATACAAGTCATCAGACTTCCTGAAATAAAGCTATTAAAGAATTCTAAAGTTATTGTTAGCACCTAAAACATTGAAAAATATGTACAGTATTATCCCCAAAAGTCCTCTTCTCCAACTTTCTGCCAGGAATCAAACGCAGGACTTAGCATATGCTTTATATAACACCTTAGTATAATGCAAGACAGTATGTTAGGCTTGGATGTATTCAGTTTGATATATAAAATCTAGGTGTTTTTAAAAAAAAAGTACAATGCTTTATCCAAAAGTTAGCATTTCAATATTATTAATAAAATCCCTGATAACTACATCACATTTTAAACATAAACTATCATAATTTCTAACCACTTTATTGTTTCTGAGACTACTGGTACATATTTAAAATTTTTCACTTATGTAGGAGAACATTACTTTTACTTAAAAAATCGTGTATATAAGTGACACCTAGGCCTTACAATTTGAAAGCTATGTTACAACATGTATTAGGTTATGTATTATAGCCTTCTAGCTCATTTTGCTTGTGAGATGAAGTCTCCCTCTGTTGCCCAGGCTAGTCTCAAACTCTTGGATGTGAGAGATACTCCCAGCCCAGCCTCCTCAGTAGTTGGAACTACAGGTGTGTATCACCATGTTTAGCTTGTAGAAAGCATATTTTAATTCATGTTTTAGCGTGTATTTATAAAAAAAATTTATTCTTTTTTATGAAAACAAAATCAAAAGTGTGGTTTACTAATAGGAAAAATACACTTAAATTTGTAAGTGATTTTTTCACTTTGATTTTTAAGCTGTTACTGGTTTCTGAGGGCAAAGAAAACTAAAGAAGATCCATTTCTCAAAACAAGAATCACCTTAAATTATGCATCCTAGCTTTACTGCAGAGATCTCATCTTAAACTGGGTGTGGTGGTACACACTTGTAATCCCAGCATGTGGAAGGCTAAGGCAAGAGGATCACTGCAAATTGGAGACCAGTCAGGGCTACAAAGTGAGCCCAAGACCAGCCTGTCTCCAAAAGACAAAAATAAATAAGTAAACAAAAACTTCATCCTACATCAACTAATCTTTACAGTTAATCAACCAGCTGTACTTTATTTTTGTTAACAATAACATTCAAGAACCATGAGACCTAATTAAAATAATTAAAATTGTTAGATTAACATTGAGCAGACAGGGAAATAATTCTTTATCCCCAACACCTCCTTTTTGTTTGTTCTTCCTTTCACCTTCAACTCCCATAATCCTGGCTCCTGGGCAACAACAAAATCAAACAAGTAAACCGATCTCTGCTTCCTTCTCTAGCTAAAATATGTAGGGATAGTAAAACATTTTGATTGAAATACAACAGTTAATTTTTTTTAAACTTTCAAAGAAAATTAAACTTCTAAAAGGTCCTACTATAACTGCAAAATAGAAATGTAAAAGTTGTTTTTTCTCCTTTGGAGTCAAATGGCTTTCATACTTCCTCAGGCTTAGGGTATAAATGACTCCCCAGCAAAGACAGAATATGCACATCCTGACACCAGGAAATCAAGCCCAATTTCATTTTCCAACGAAGGGAGAAATCAGGGTCCAGGAAGGGGTGGAACTAAACTGGAAATGTCTATTGTTCTATCACTGACCATTGTGGAAATGCTAATTAAAAACAACACTGAGATTCTCTCTCTGTCCAGAAAGAATCACTATGCATGTATCATATTGCCAGAAGTAGATAAACTATCTCTACTTCCAAAGTTTATAGTCTTCAGTGCAATATTGTGAGTTCAACTCCTGGTACAAACAAACAAACAAAAAGTTTATAGTCTCAGTAAGATAACACACATACACAAAAAAACATTATGAAATCTTGATAAAATATAACTGAAGATGCTGAAGAGATGGGTTACAAAGCACTAGGAAATAGGAAAAATAATTTTTAAGTTAGAAGACCGTTTTTTAGAATTAGACTATTAGACCAACAAAGTTGGAAGAGTAGTAAATAACCATGAAATTTTAAACCTCCAATTTGAAAAGTCACACTTAGAGGCTTACCACTTATCTTAATTATTTCCTCATTGCTGGGACAAAATATCTAACATCCATAGTTAAAGGACAAAAAGTTATTTTAGTGCCCAGTATACAGAGGTGTCAGTCCAAGGCAAGGCAGCATGGCAGAAAGGCATGGCAGAGGACAAACAGTCCATAGCAGGGCAGGCAAAAAGCATCAAGCACCTGGCCTGCCTTTCCTCTCTGCCTTCATATTCTACCCAAACTACAAGCCCACTAGTTGGCTCTACTTGTACCCAGGGCATAGAATTCTTCAGTGAAGCTATTCAGCTATACCCAGAACTTTGCCAATCCAGTCAGTGAACTAATCCAGTTATCACCTACCCTTAATCCAGTATCACACAGCCTAGATGAAGTCACCTCTGAAAAGCCCCACCTATGAGCACCTGAGGCTTTGGGGGTGGGAATATCTAGAAACAGGTGGTTGTAACTCTAGTTATATATTTTATATTTCAGGCAATTCTAAATTCATCTATAAATAATACTTAAAGACACCTAATTCTATGGAGGCTACCTGTCCCAACTTGTCTGGGGCACTCTCCTTTCACAAGTGACACAATATAATTACTAATAATTCAACATCTGTGATCACAATACAAAAAAAGGAAAATGAGAGCATTAAACAGATTAGCATAAGAAGGAAATAATAACTCAAAAGGTAATTTTTGAACACTTTAAAGTTAGATATTGTACTGGAATCAGAATCTAAAAGCTAGTTATGAGGCAGTCTGAGTTTAAATTATTTACTCTTCTATAGGAAAAGAGAAATCACAGAAAAATCCAGTCTGCCATAGTTAAATTATCAAAAAGCCATCTGAATGATATCCTAGGTAAGTGTAAAACATGACATCCCAAGGACATCTGCACTGGAATAATTTACTCTAATTGATAAAAGCTGTTGCTGTTTGCAACTTTTTTAAAAAGATAAAGGAGAAGATTCCACCTTGGGAGCCGGAAGTGCCTGAGGTGATTTCCAGCCAACGGGGAAGCTTTAGAACATTGCTTGGAACCAGTAAGGCCCCACCCATCATCCCAAACCACCCCAGGACTCACCAAAGGTCCCTGTGGGTCTATATAGGCCACATCCAACAATCCCCTGGCTTCCAGCAGTTGCCTACATTCCACCTCTTAAGCCAAAAGTGCATGAGGTAATTTCTAGCCCACTGGGAAGCATTGCTCCGAGCCCAAAAATATAGGAAAATGATAAAACGAAAGAGCAAAATATAATCTCAAACCTCCAGCCTATCCCAAGCAAGCCTAGGCAACATGGTCATAGAAGCAAATGTAAGCCATATACCTGAAACTCCTGAAATGAGAGCAAATGAAGTAAAGAAACAACTCTGGAAAGCTATAAAAGAACTGAGATCAAAAATAACGTCCCAGGTAAAAGAAGAAATGATAAATGTAATGAAAGAAATGTGAACACATCTAAAGAAGAAATAGTTAAATGCAAAAAGATGGAAATCTTGAACGAAAATTGTAAGAAACAAACAGAATGCATGAAGCAGATTCAAAGAAATATACAGGAAATCAAAATTTCCATTGAAAGTTGGCAAAACCTCCTCAATGAAAGTGAAGATAAACTTTCAAACCTTGAAACAAGATTGCAGCTAAAGACCAGGAAAGGAAAGATCTTTTAAAAATCACAAGAAGGGGCTAGAGATTTAGCTCAGTGGCATAAGTGCCTGCCTTGCAAGCAGGCAGTCGTGAGTTCGATCCCTGGTACTGATTTATCGGTACCAGGGAAGAAGGGAAGGAAAGGGAAAGGAAAAAGAAAAAAAAAATCACAAGGAATCAGGAAATAATTCAACAGCTGCAAGATGATGCAAAAAAAAAAAAAACAAACCCATAAGATTGATAGGGATAAATGAAAAAGAAAGGGACAACACAAATGATATCAAAAGGCTATTTACTTCCGGGAGAACATGGCGGACAGATAGCAGATACTACGGAGGCTCTCTGAAAGGCTTGGTTCAGAAGTCAGGAATGGTGCGGACTAAGGAGACATAAGACAGTGGAGATATGCTCTGCTGACTCAGGAACAAACTGGGCTGAGAGAAACCAACTTGGAATGCAGTCCTGGCACTAAAACAGGAACAGAAAAGCCTCGGTGTGGAGCCTGGACCCCGCGCCATTGGAAGCCGCGATTTGGGTTTCCTGCCATGCGGCGGCTGGCTGCCTCTACATTGGCTCGGCAAGGAGAGAGACGCACGGAAGCTCTGAGAACGGGAGTCTGCGAACGGAGTCGAAAACAGGATGGACAGGGAGGCGTACACTGACTTGTGGTGAGGTGAGTGAGAGAAACTGACACTCTACCACAGTTTAACTCCAGCGGAGTACTTTCTGGGCCGGGGCAGTCCTGCGGGAGCAGGGCGCGGTGGCAACTTCAGCCACACATCCCCCTCTCGGACGGGATTGGTGAAAAGTGCCTGGCCTGCGTGACGCTGCTGGCGGACCCGGTAGGCTGGCCCAACCCAGATCCCAGAGCCTGACGGTGGCCGGGAGGGGCGGGCCCCGCGTAGGCTGCCTGATCTGCAACTTCCTGGTGTGCTGCAGTGGGTGAGAACACCTAACCGGAGCAATTCGATCAGGCTGTGGCTGACAGGGAGAGAAGCTGGGTCTCCTATGTAA